ATGTTAGACGAAATTGTTTTAATTAGCATAAATAAGGCGCTTCTCTAAATTAATATAAAAATATGCTTTGACAAATAAAATTTTTACAACACCTTCCGCTTTGTTTTTGTTTTTTTTTATTTTGGATTTTAAGCCGAAAAGGTTCCATTTTTGTTTCTAAGCTTATTATCCTTTTACCATAAACCGCACATCCTTGCTAAGTAAAATGAATTACGCCTTTCGCGTGTAAATTGCTTTTAAAGCACACATTTCAACAGTTTCAGTTTCTCGAGTTTTCGTATTTTCATGTTTCCTTGACTTTTTTCACTTTTCGATTTCTTGTCTAACATTTTATCTGCTGTGTTCCCCAAAAAAGAAAGTCTCGGCGTCTTGTTACGCAATTCGTCAAAGTCAAAATTGTGAAAGTAGTAATTTCAACTCACACGCCTTCAAAGGACCTAAGCAGCTACAACACCGCCATCGCAAGGCAAGACAGTCAATTCTGGTGAAAGTTTTAGTAGCGGAAGTAAATTGAAAATTTGGTGTTTGCGTTAAAATCTCTCAAATGGCTCGCAAAATGTATTTAATGTTATTTTTTTTTATGGAATCGAGTGTGGAGAACTGCGGGAGAATATCCGCAATGTAACTAAGGAATATTTCCTGAATTCAAAGTGGAATTTCGGTGTTTATTATTTCTTTTTTGTTTTTTGTATTAAAAATTCATTTAATTAATTTGGAAGCAAATAAGAAGCTTATACCACGTTTTGCGTTTGGTTTGACTTTGAATCTCGTTAAAGAAATTTTTTATAAAATAAGTTTCTGGAATACAATTGAATTGGTGCAGAATTCATAGTTATATATTCTGTATTCTATGCATGTATTCTATACATTCGACTATAACCGACTTTCAATTAGTTTTATTGCAACAGTGTTATCAAATCTGCGCCTTTGCAGTTTAACAATCAATACATACATTTATAATATTATGAAATATATATTAATATATAACATTGTATATATACTATAGCGATTTATGTTTATTTATATATGGACAAGTAATGAATTTTCAAAAGACTATAAAAGTTTCATAAAAGTAAAACAATGATCGGTTTTTCAGGCTGAACTCCTAGCCATTATAGAAGCCTGTCGGAAAACTCATCTGGGTTCCTGGACATAGGCACATCATAGGGCACGAGAAAGCTGACAGTTTAGCCCGCTCTTGTGCCTCCCTGGATATGTTACTGGCGGTACCGGTTTATATTATCCTAGAGACCATTAAGAGAAGTACTTTCTTCTAGTTTCTGCAACTTGCCAATAACAGATGGAAAGCACTTAAGTCAAGTGCGACTTCCAGGTTAACATGGCTTAGCTATAATAAAAATAGATTCCCGGACTCATCAAAAGAAACCGCGTGAAGACTGCAACGCTTACTACAGTTCTTACTAGTTATTAAGGTGTAGGAACTTACGTAGAGAAACTGCGTATTCCCCATAATCCTCACTGCAGAAGTTATGAAAACCCGCAGGAGAAAGAAACCATAATACATTTTTCTGTTAATGCCTAGCTTTGGCATCCAGAAGATATAGGTTCTTAGGAAGATACTTCTTTGATAGTTTTTCAGACTGTCCATCTGTGAAGACGAAAGAACTATTAAATTACCTAAATTCGGCAGGATGGATTTCGTCTCTACTCTTCTATACTAGGGTTCTTGTGAGGAATGTGGTAGTAAAACAGCGAAAAATCGATAATTGAGGTATCTAATGGCCTGCCACAGCAATCAAACAACCAAGACAATGATAATTTTAAATTTTGCGTAGTAAGACGCCAGCAGTTTACTCAAATTAACTGAAGATCCTTCTAAATGTCAAGTACGGTTTCAGGTGAGTTGGTGCGCTGACTCTGAGCTTCACATTTGGCAGGATTCGAGTTCGATTGCTGGCACTTGCAGTCTCAAAAAAAAATTATTTACGAATAATTAAATACCTACAAGAATTATTTTCAAGACTATTGTTGGTGGGTTTTGGCAATATTTGAAACAACTATATGGTCAGCCAAAAATTCAATTAATTAAAATAATATAAAATTAATTTTTGTTGTTGTAGTTCACTACTGTTCGAAAAAACCTCTTAAATTCTTTATTGAATTTGTTTAAATTATTACTTAAATTGTAACAAATACATGAACTATTTCAACTAGTTTGTTATTAAGTGTTTAATTATGTTTTCCTGGTATTCCGACATGCCAACTCGGTAATAACTTACTGCAAAGCACCTCTCCGGAATTCATTTATGAACTTCTCAAACTTCTGCCGTATCTCATAAATTAGAACAATAAACGCAACTATTCTATTTACAGGTAATAATTATTCGAGAACGTAATTTATGTGTTGTTTTAGGTAAAAAACCTCTAAAGTAGTTTTATTTGAACGAGGGAATTTTTTATTTTAAATAACTCAAAAAACAAAACAATAAATATATAAATTTCTATGCATATATTGTTGCTTATAGTAAGTAATGAAAACATTTCTCAAATGAAATTTGAATATTCGCTTAAATTTTAACTAAATGCCTTTAAGCTATTTTCTCTTCATATAAACCACCAAAAATCTTTTAGGAAAAACCTTTTACTAAAATTATAGTTCGCCCCTTTGATGAACTGCACATCAAATTCCGTTTGCTTTCGTAGTTAATGTTTTTGATTTTCATAAACAGGAAAATTGCGGCAAACATTTTCACAACTTAATAGTTTTCCTTTCTGAGTTTAGGAATTTTATTTTCAGTATTTTTCTTTTTCATTTTGGTATAGCAATTAATGCGGTTTTATAACTCCAAAATTGTGTGCCATTTTATTTGCTCCATTTTATTTGAACACAGACACTACGAACTTTTTTATTGGTTTTACTTTGTTTTTTCTTTTTTTAAAGCTTCGAGCGTTCAATAAAAACTTTTATTGCGGTATTTCCCCATTTTCAATTATTACATATTTTAGCGGGTTTTTTATTGGTTTAGTTTAACATTCAACAATAAAAAACAAATAAATTCATTATAATCTTTTTCCCTTTTTACTTGATTTCGAAGTATTTTTAAAAATATATTTTAATCGATAATTTATCGATATTTGATAATTGACCATTCGTTTGTTCTGCGTCATTTCTGTGAGTTTGGAAGTTTAGTTAATTGAATGTGTGATAAATTATTAAAATTTATTACAAATAACAAAGCAAGACAGTAGGAAATTAATTTAGTTCCTTAATGTTATTGTTATTTTCATTGCTTGACATAATATCGATTGCATAGTTATTTTTGCCACGTAGATTAAAATCTATTTGATTAGGAAATTTGTAGCTAATATGTATACCAAAATATTGGTTTTGACAGATATTGCAGACTAATTGATAAGCACTGAAAGTTGGTTTAAGTTATTAAAAAATGAAAACACAAACGAATGCTGTAAATCTAGATATTCAACATTCGTTCGTTTCTTTGTCCTCCCTGGGGATCTACTTGTTGATGGTCTCTTTGTCATCAGGATGTTCTTATTGCACTCATTCATTATTAACAGAAAATGATACTTCCACTCAAAAAATTTTTTTTTTGACTCTATTGACTCTATCGTACCTCTGTCATGAATAAATATTTGATATTAGATCATGACATATAATATCTATGATAAGCCGAATAGTTTAAAATTGTTGTTGTAAACATTTGCTGTGTCTTTGTAGCATTTGCTTTACTCTGTACCATATTATTCAGTACTAAATATATATATGTCCAATATATATGAGTCTCTAATTAATTAGTTTGGTATTTCGTTTCCCAAATTATCTCTTTGACACTTTTGTACGTTCATCCTGCGTTGTTGGTATGTGGTTTCATTTATCTTAACATATCAAAAGGTTGATGGCAAACTTTAAACAATATATTAAAATGAAAATTTTAATTTAAATCCAGAGTTTTTTATTACAAAATTACAAAATAATTAAAATTACTTATTACAAAATAAATTCAAAAAAATAATGTTACTTATTCCATCAAAGTATGTTGAACCTAAAATTCTATAAATGCATTGGTTTATTCTAATGAAATGTATTTAACGTTTACTTAAGACTTTTAATTTAAATGTAAATAATTTATTTTTAATAGGTCAATTGATTTGATTGGACTTTCCCGAATGAAAAAGTTTTAATCGATTCTATACATATTTAATAACTGACGTACGTTAAGTAGTGTAGTGTGCTTCATACTATGACAGAATTCAAATGAAAGGATTAGAAATTTTACAAAACCAACAAAGTAAAAATTTTTCCGGGAATATTTCATTAAATATATTTTACTAAAATTAAAAAGTTTTCGAGTTTTAAATATTAAAAACTTTCAGTTTCACGGAAGGATAAGTGAAGTATTACATATTTTGAATTAAATACGCCATTGAAATGAAACAAATACAAGCTTGTGGAGCCTGCTTTGGTTTCTCTATATAAAATGGAACAAATCCTATTTAATACTTTTACGACAAGCCTTGAGTGACACGGCTGATTGCTAATTACTCTTTAGTTAAATTTTAAAATTTTTTTTAATTAGTTTGACATTTCATTAGCTTATGGTAAACGTTAATTAATAGGATTAGTGGTAAAGGACATATAATATATACGAAAACGTACCAGAGCAATCTTATTATCGTAATGAAAGGTCATAGATTTGTTGGTTTATTATGTGTCTAAGTTCAAATTTCTCTATTGATAGAAATCAAATTTATGCTAATTCTTTGTTTTAGTAGGTGTAATATATGTAAAGATACTATTTTTAAATTTTATAAAATTTTCCTGTGCTTACTATAACTCGTTTGTATGGATAAATTTTGATTTTGAAATGCTATACCAGTCATTACAACGCCTTTGAATGAAATTTATACCAAATTTTTGTGAACATTTCCTATATTCAAAAATAAATATAGATACCAAAAATTCTACTTTTTCAAGCGCTCTGCTTTTGTTCTACATATTCCCACTTCTATTTTTCCAGGATTATGTGCCGCGTTTGAACGGAATCGGATTGTGTGTTGTCAATTTAATGGATGACATGCACGAATACACGCGTGGATTATTTCTATCAATGTGAGTTGTTATATTTGCTAATATTGTTTTTTAAAAGTTATATTTTTTAGATTTATATTTTTATAACAAACCACTTTAAACATAACAATTTTTCAGTTTATCCAATCAAATCCATAACAACCAAGCAATTAGTTTAAACCATTAAATTTGGAAGATATTTTGTATATTATTTGATAAATTCTTACTTTTATTTTCCTAAGTTTATTTTATTTTTTATGTTTTTAGCATACAGATATGTACACACACACAAATATGATGACATATTTCTGAATTTTGGTCATTTATCATTTTTATAGGTACTGCGCTCCTACTGTGCTACTCGCTTATCTTTACATAAGAACATCCCAGGAGCTACGTCCGCCGGATGGACCGTTTGCTGTTATGATGTTTGAACATCGCGCCGACTTAAGAAATCGTCAAAGGTAAGTCGGTGTAAAATGAACATGAGCCTTAAGGTAAAATGTGCAGATTTTCCTGCAGATTTAAAATGAATTAAAACTTTTCTAAACTAAAGTGTTCCGTTTTAGATAAGAAAATTAGATTAAAAAAATTTCTTCGAAAAAGTTTAAAATTTAGAAATTAAATAAAAAAATAAAAAAGTCAAAAAAGTATTTCCGAAAACAAAAGAAAAATTACTAAACTTTAATGAGATAATACAAGAACATTTATTAATTAGGGTTTCGATTAAGCTTTTATGACACATTGGATAAATCTTGTTAATTATAAGTAGTCGTATTCACAGACGGGAATAAGTAAATAATATTTTTTCAGGTAGAAATATATTGCGATATTTGATATTATGGATAGGCACACAGGATATTACGATATAACTAATAAGATTTAACGTTCAACTCTGTTTAATATAAAAAAGATTTTCCTAAGTAATTTTTTTGGATTATATACTCTAGCTTTTAAATACACATTTAAGATAGGGATGTTACTCATAGACGGCATTCCTTACAAATATACAAGCGTTAGGCATGTAGTGAAGAGAAGGGGAGATGTCCAGGCGGATTAAAACATCATCCAAATGAATTCTCCGAAAATTCTAACACCTAGAGAGAAAGAGACATAGAAAGGGAGCGATAGAGAGAGAATGATGAATAGAAAGAGTGGAATGTGAGTGGGAAAAAAAATAGAGAGAATTAGAGATAGAGAAAGAAATAGAGAAAAAGAAATATAGAGAGAGAGAGATGCGATATAGAGAGAGAATGAGAATGATACATAGAAAGAATGGGCGGGAAATAGGGGGAGGGGAAAGATATACATAAAGTAAGGCAGAGAAAACGAAAGAAAGAGAAAAATAGTGTGGGTGCGCCAGAGAGAAAGTGGAATAAAAATCCTCCAAAGAGAAATAGAATGAAAGAGGGAGATAAAGAGAGAGATATATACATGGAGAGAGAGAGAGAAACAGAGAGAAAAAGAGAAAAAGAGAGACTGGTAAAAAAAAGATAGGAAGGCAAATAAAAAGAGAGATATAGAAACAGTAGTTTGAGTTGAACAAATAACGGAAATTAAATTTTATTTGTTTTTAAAACCCTGCACTTTCTTGAAAATGAACTATGATCTAAAATTATGAATATATATATAAATATATATATATATCCCATAATATTATTACAATCTACTTTTTTATTTGCCCTAAATAATTATCTTAAAAATATTTTGTGGAATAAAATTGTATAAATGTTATATACTCGTTGTCTACTGTAAGCTATTGAAACTTTACGTACGCCTCTACATTAAACATGTATGATACATTTAATTAGCTTATTATGAGTTATTTTTAAAGCTACCATATAATACTTCTTAATCCTTTTGTTTCTGATGTACCCACACAAATAGTTTGCTCTACTTGAACAAATAAATACAAACACCCATTGCGACTTAAATACTATAGAAATATGTAATAACATTGGATTAAATGCCCACTAGAGAGAATATCAACCAAAATGCCTTCCTACAGCGAAATACTTAAACATTTTTACTTAAGTTAGAAGCATTTAACTCATTACGTATCTTTCTAATTAATTTCAAAATAATTTATTTTCATAGCATGTGTGTATTTCTATAAGTATTTTCTGTATTTATTTTGTTACAATAATAGAAACTCATCAGCTTCGTCAGTTGATCGCGGTTATGGTGGTTCGAATAGTATTGCTACAACAGCGACTGCTTCTGGTTTAACAGCGCTGACCACAAATACTGGTAGCGGTGGTCATACTGGCTCTGGCTCAAAATCTACACGTTCCTATGATTTGTATAGTGCTGAGTTGGATGTCAGTCGTGAGCGACGAAATCAGCGCAATTTTGGTAGCATGGCAGCTACGCAAATTGTCTGCTTATGTCCTTTGATGGTGTTAAGGTTGGCACGTCTCTCCATGGAGGAAACCTATGAAAATCAAAAGCATTTCGACTTCACTTATTTGATGTTTGTGTGGATTGCTTTTTTGCCCACAGTCATCTTTCCCTGTATTTACGCATCGCAAATATTGCCCAGGTAAGTCGAGTCAAGTAAAGTCAAGACAAGTCGCAAATGAAGTCAAGTCAAAATGTCAATAAAACTTGTAAGTTAAGTAGGTGTTGGACAAAGGACAACTATAGGAAAATTTTGATTGGGGCAATCTTTTATTGAGCTTCTTTTATGACATTATTTAATTAAAATGTAGAATATCTATAAATTATTGCGCATTTAGTTAAAGTTGAATTGCTTTAAAGAAGCTGTTAGTTGAAGATTTAAAAGATTTAGTTGAACTTAATATTAACGGTTTTGTATTGTTTTTAAATGATGGACTAGATTTAAATGATGGAAGTTTAGAAAATATATTCAGCAACGAACGAAATAGCTGGGTCTGATATTGAAATTTAAATTTGATATATTACTTTTGTATTAATTAGCAAATAAATTATGAAAATAGATACTACTATAATATAAGTAACTTCATAATACAAACTGAAAGCCTCAAATGATTAAGAAAGGTATGCCAATTTTCATTTCTTTAATTAAATTTCATTAGATTTTAAAATTTATAATCAAATCAACAAAAAACGCTAAGTAGACATAAACTTATCGAAAATTCTTTATTGTTTTTATTTAGTAACAAAATTTTCTAATTAATTTGACTGAAATGCATTGGCTCAACCAGCTCTCTGTTAAATACTATTTGAATGATAATAATTTAATTTTATGCTGCTCTATTTTTGAGTGCAAACAGATTTTTATTTTTTTGCTTTATTTAAGAAATTCTATATTGAAGCCTGATCATATTTAACAGCTTATAGCTCAAAAAGACAATAATAAAATTTAATAGTACAAGAGAGATGGTAACAATTATATTTTTATCAGGTGTTCCGATGACAGTTTCTACCGAAGCTGACATTAATTACTCTTAACTGCTGTAATAAATTAAAAATTAGAAATTGTAACTCACATAGCGATTGAATAATATGCTTATATACTACTACTACCTATTATGTACTTATGTATATAAGTTTATAACTATATTATATACATTATCAACTTATTTCTCTAATACTATTTTTCTCTATCTTTCTTTTCACTTTTGGAAAAAAAAATTAGAACGGAACAAGAACGTCTACGTGGCTATTTCCGTCTATCGTCGAAACGTAAACAAACATCTCGTAAGAACATCGGACGAAGTGGTGGCAATAATGAACATTCGTCTAGCTCAAGGGAAAACTCCATTGAAAAAGACGAGAATACCAACACAACACTGGCAACATCTATAATATCGAACGGTGAAGGCTACATAACTGGAGTTTGTGCTGGCGATGCAACAGCAGTACGTCATGAGCTGAAATCAAGCAAACAGCAACATCACGGCAACTACAATGCACCTCCCTACAGACAGGGTAAGGATATGCTGTCAGCAGGTATGGTTGGGAATAAAGCAAAAACTCACAACAATGACGGTAGATTGAAGAAAAATGATGTTAAAATAAATATAATATCTGATGGTAAGAGTAAGGCGGGAAGCAGTAATAGTAGTAATATAACAATGCAGCAGCAAGTAAAAAATGGCAGTTTTAGAAGTAGTAGAAAAAATAGTGCCGGCGATAGTAGCTGCGGTGTGAATAGTAGCTTAAGTGTACACCGCAAGTATACAATTGACTCGCTGGATAACAATTCTTGTTCAAACATGACCTCGTCAACCTATTGTAATGGTAACAGTAGCTTGGTGGACGATGGTGGTATAAGTAATTTTGGTGATGGCGAAGATTCGTCTATTGTTAGTGGTATGATTGTGCATAACAATGGCAATGGTGGCACGTCATACTATGACAAGAAATGGAGTCACAGTGGTCAATCGTTACGCCATAAAGATGTATCGTTCAGTGATACAAGTTCTTTTACACGCATGGATTCATCGAGTACATTGGAACGTGATTTAGAGATAATGGATTTATTAGAGCGTGAAAGAAGTATGGACATACAAGAAATGATTGAACGTGAAAAGCTGCAAGAAGAAGCACAACGCAGTGGCAGTGAACGTAGACGTTTGCCGGATATTGAAAAAATTTATCAACGTTCGCCAAAAGCTAAAATTGAACCTTACAATTACGAACATTCCACAGCGACTGCTTCGACAATTTCAGCGAGAGATACACATGTTATGTCTACTACAGTATCATTGTTACCTGGTAGTGATCCATTACAAGCGAATAGTGAAGCATACAGTATTGCAACGACTCTTAATGAAGATGATTTAAAACATGTTTTGCCTCATGACAATGAAAACATAGATGATGAAGTGCCAGCAGATTTCTTCGATAAGTACACGCCCGGTGGTGTGGTAACGTTACCAAGCTCGGTGCCACCTATCACACCCACAGCACCTTATCAATATCAGTATAATCGACGTTTAAGTCGCAAATCTTCACATCACAGTCAAGGCTCAAATTCACATCGTAACTCTAAGCGCGACAGTTTTAATTCGTTGAATGGATCTGATTTGATTGCAGGCGCATTTGGGGAACTTGATCCAACGCAACCACTAACGAAAATGTCTGTGATTGAAAACCGTATGCGACGCAGCAGTGGACGTACTTCCAGCTTCAGCTCATCTGCGCGCAGTTCGATGAAGTCACGTGACTATAACCACGGCTCAACGCATTCAGCACACCCTGAGCTGGATTTCAGGGAGAATATTTTTGCAGAACTGTAAATTGTGAAATGTAAGGCAATCGTAGGATCGGATATTTATTGATTTTTAAGCTAATTTAGTATATTTGTGACAAAGCCAAATTTTTTTTGTAAGTAAAAATAATTTTTTTTATACTTAAGCTACGAAAAAAATTAAAATATATAAAAATTTTGTATTTATTGTTCTTCAACGTAAATTTGTATTTCGAAACAAAATGTTGTAAGGAATTATTTTAATTTTTTTTTAAAAACACATAACTGAAGCATTTAAATTTTTTATTTAAAAATATAAAAGTAAAGATTTTTTATATAAAAATTTAGGAATCCATTTAATTAGTTAGCGAATAAGTATTTTCGAAGCATTTTTATGGCTAAATTTTTAGTTATTAAAATTTTTGTATTGAAATATTTTTATATCTTAGGTAAATGTGGCTAAAAAAGTTGAAAGCACGGATAAGAAATATTTTTTTACTCTCTCTCTAAATATATTAATAATATAACTATAATAAAATAACTAAAACAAGTCTTAGTGTTAAAAAGATAGTTTCTTTACATAATTACATATAAATTAATAAATTCTTGAATGAAAATGCATTTAAGATTATTGAAAACTGTAGTAAAAAAAATTTATCATACTAAATTTTGTACGAAGGACTAGATTTTCTACTGTGTATTTTAGTGGATTGTAAGAAATATAAATTTAGGAGCACTCATATGCTAAATGGTGGGCCTGGGCCCGCAGAGTACCAATTGAGCAAAGATTTTTTATAGAAAATTAATTCAAAATTAAAAGATGAAAAGATTTATTAAAAAAAATTAATTAATAAATAAATAAATAACAAAAAATTTAAGTAAAATAATTTCGACAGATAAAATTAAATTTTATATTTAAATATTAATATTTAAATAAATATTCAATATAAATAATTTAAAAAAATCCACAAAAAAAACCGAAATAAAACAACTGAATATATATAAACCAAAAACATATAAATAAATATAAAATTAATTTAATATTTTAAATAAAAATAAAAGCGTTTAACTATGTGCCAAGTACAAGGATTAAGATTTTATGAGAAAAGTATATTAAAATATGAGTTTGTGTTGTATCAGTAAATAAAATTTTTTATATAATATTGTTGTGATTAAAAGTATATAAATAAAATTATATTAAATATAATTTAGTTACAATAAATAAATAAATATTGATATATTATTAATGGTTAATCAGTATTTGTTAAAACAAATTCTATTAACTTAAAAAAAAAAAAAGTTGAAATAATTTCTTTAATTATTTTCAATTTTAATTAGTAAGCTTATATAAAAATAAAATCAAAATTATTATATAATAATAATAAAATATATTTGAAACGAATGTCAACAATATTACATACAAAATATAATATTTATATTTGTTTAAATTCTTGTGAGCCCCAAGAATTACAAATATTTTATTCAAAAAAAAAAAATAGTAAATAATGAAATACAATAGTAAATTTTAATAAATGCGCAGTTAAAATATCAAATCAAAAACTATATATTTTATTATAAAATAATGCTAAATATAAAAATAATTCACTATATTGTTACTGTTATAATACATATAAAATCTGTTATGAAATAAATATCAACAATATGAAATGCATATTTTCTCTCACACGTTACATTCAAATAATAAAATTATTTAATAAATAAAAAACAAAATTATTTTTTTATTTAAAAAAGATAAACATTCTCAGTATCACAGTACTCAGTATTAAAATAACTAAGTACACGTTGGAAATGTCACATTGCATATTAACTGCCCTACTAAAATAAATTGAGGTCATTACAATTTCGAAGTGAGCCCTTAATTTCACTTATGGAACCATTTAGCCTTAAATATAGGCATTTAAATAAACAAAAGTCAAAGTACCAGCTAACATCACCAAAAAAGCGAAGAACTGGAAATAAGTGACAACTAACCCCAATATTTGGAATCAAAACTTTCATACAAAACCTGTGAGTTCAGGATAAATTTTAGGTTTACATTTCCAAAGTTTAAGAACATTTTTTAACTAAAGGAAGTGTGAATAGGTCAGACACTAACTTCAACATATGAACAAATTTGTTAAACTTATGCTAAAATATTGCTACTTCTCTTACACAAATACAAATAGCTTGACAGTAAATGTTTTGTTCTGACACTAGGTGGTACACTCGAAAATTAATCCATTTCTCCATACCTAAGTTCTAACTCTTTGGATAAAAGATATTTAATAACTATTGTAGCTACCCTAATAGATTGTTGCCATCAAAAAGTAAAGTGATGTTTTTAGTTTAAAATAGGAGTGCAATTCGTTTCAGACAAGTCTGTGTTTAGGTTGATAGTACTGTAACTGATAGCTGTGGTAAGTTTTATGTTAATATTTGCATTGGTGCTTCGAGACCATTTTTCTCTAAGCTAAACAGATCACTTTGCGGACATCATTTCGACGTCTTTGCCTATTTTTCTAGGACTGAAAAAATTTAATTTAACTGTTGGTATTGGACGAGAGATCTTGGAAAAGGCGATGAAATTATATCAATATATAGGTTCTAAAAATTTATTATTACCGTTTCTAATTTTTTACAAAACTTGAATTACTTTATTCTGTTTTTAAGTAATTACAGATTGCTTTTAAAAATTTTTTTATTGAAATACCAAATTTTGTGAAATTTTTTTAATTCATTTAGATATAAATATTTAAAAGAAAATGTATCTAAATTGACAAGAATAAACCATCAGTATGAATTGACTCGACAGCAAGAACTGTAGCAAAGTTTCAACATTTTTCATTAATCATATATTTTTCTTGCGGCAGCCTACCGTACCAATGAAATTAAGTAAGACATTTAATTAATTTTACTTAAAATTTGTGATAAATTACCCAAAGAAATAGAAAGTTTTGAACAAATGTTCTGCATTAATAATTAGACAATGTTTATAAAATATTATATTACTGCTATCATGTACAGACAATATTAAGCATAATAAAATCAACATTAGGCAGGTCTGTTAAAGAAAGAGCAATGTGTGACAGTAAAATATAATTCAACATGTTATAGATATACATATATTCGAGAAAAATATATATACGAAATCAAAAAACAATCAGAATAACAAAGGCATTCATTCAATTAATACTAATTCTAACTCTAACTCTTAAGTTTGAAAACATTTTTTTTAAACAATAGACCAAGTTGAGCCTTACTAAAGAATGATCCACTATGAAATATCCTAAAGTTTCAAAGACATTTCTTAATTAGATGAGAACTGCAATCATTGGAGCATTTTATATCGCTTGATAATCATATATAAAACATATGATTTCTCTCTAAATACTCAACTATTATAATTGTTCTAGCCATATCATTACTTATTCATATTTTACAACACAATACTTCTCTAATAATGCAGAGCATATTGATTCCAAGTAGCTTAGCTTGAATGATGTATATAATAGGATAAAAGTAGTGTTAGTAATAATACAAGGTGTATTCGGTGGTTTCAAAATGAGGCAAAAAACAACAAGTCGCTTGCTTAAAGTCTCTTATTTGTACGCAAAACAACAACACTACTCACACCATCTAACATACTAGAAGCATATTTGTTTTTCTCGATGAAGTAATTAATTACCTCGGCATTATGTACATACCTATATGCGAACTGTCATATTCATGGAATGATACATTATATCTTTTGTATGTAAGTTTACATTGACATATAATATACCATATTTAGCTTTCTATTCTAATAAAACCTGAACAATTCCCATTTTCTAATAAAATTGCATTCAGAATAGTGCTTTTAACCAATTTTAATGTAAATTACAAAACTTTTCTTCGATTTTCTATCGATGAAAAAAGTGTTAACAGAAGGGATACGAGTATATATCGTGAAGTGCAGTAATGTGTCGCAGTAAAAGTGGATTGAATTGTATTACCATTTCTTCCACTGCAAGCAAATATGCAGTAAAATGGTTCTACACATTTTCCATGACACCTTGAAATCGATTGTGGCGCAGTTTAATTTCCTTGGCGTACTTTCACATGGTTTTGGTTTATAAGTTAAAAAAAAAAAGACGAATTGCTTTCATTTTGCATTTAAACGAAGAGAATCGACATAAAAACTTTCTGGAGTATTTCAGCAAACTTTCGCGCAAAGTGGATTTAGTAATTCAATTTACCGTTCGGCAATGCTGCATAGTTTGTAGCAATTTTGTCAGCGCGGTTGCGGCAACTTTTACTGCAGTTTGTTGTCATGACTTCGTGCCACATTTTTTATTCTTAGTGCCGCATGATAACGCGAATAATTGCTGATCACACACAAAGTGTGCAGGCAATGTTTTGTGGAGTGCAACAAAAATGTGCCAATTATCCTAGAAGCACTTGGTAGAGTGCTGAAATCTAAGCATCATTGAGAATTTTTACTTTGGTTAACAAGATTTTACTGTAATTCAAATTTTAAGTAGAAATTAAACATTTTTTTGGACTATGGTTTCAAGCACCCTGAATACTTGAGTTATTCGCTAAATATGAAATTCACATTTTTCTAAATGTGTCAAAATTATTGATATAAGCTGTCGAATGCAATTAATAGTAAATTGTGTCTTTGTAAAAATGCAATAGTATATTGAGTTCAAACTAAAATGTTCAAGTCAATTGAATACAAAATATATAGTGGATATATCTACAGAATATGAAAAATATAGATTATAATATCGCGGTAATAGTAATAATTATATATAAGAAATAGTTTCATCACAATTAATGATAGGTACTTAGCAATACTTGAAACAGTTGTAAATAAAAATAAATAAAAATTTTGTTGTTGCAATTCACTACTATTCGAAACTTGTTCAAAAGAAAAAAATTAAAAAATATATATATATTATTTTATTTTATTTATACCTATTATTTCTTTAATTCATATTTAATTTTTTTAGTACTGTTTTAATAACAGTGTTAGTATATAGTATAATTATTGTAGGTATATACTATATACCTACAATAATTAGTACAATTTTAAATTGAAGAGAAACAATAGTTATTTTTTAATTAGAAATACTCAAAAT